AATATGCAAGATAATTAAACTGGACACTCTTTGAATTATATGACCATCAACATATAATCGTGCATCTTGATGTGCTAAAACGGCTAAACACCATGTGTTTTGTTTTTGAACAGTTTATGTTTAGGCCAAACTCTCTTCCCACTGTATCAAATGGCATTTAAAAGGCATTGTAATCCATTCATGTCATCACTTACAATAACTGTATCGTCTGCATATCTGATTGTATTTATCAGAATTCCATTAACTTTCACGCCCTATTCCAAATTATGCAGCGCTTCTTTAAATATTCTATCTGAATATAAATTAAATAACAGTGGGGATAGTATACAACCCTGTCTGAACACCTCTTTGTATTTTACATATTTCTGTTGATTTTCCGTTTGTGCAAGCTGTCGCTGTTTGACGCCAGTATAACTTTTCTATGAATCGTATGTCTTGACTATCAACTCCTTTATCTTTTAATATTGTAATTAATTTGTGATGCTGTAATCGATCAAAGGCCTTTTCATAGTAAATAAATACAGCAAAGACGTCTTTCCTTTGATCTCGACTTTTCTGCAGTAACACATTTAGTGCAAAGAGGGCGTCCCGAGTTCCCAGTCCATTTCTGAAGCCAAATTGTGTTTCATCCTGGTCTTCTTCACATTTATCTCTGATTCTACTGTGGATGATGCGTAGAAATATTTTCAAAGTGTGGCTCATAAGGCTTATCATTCTATAATCGCTACAGTTTTTCGGACGTTATTTTTTTGGTAGTGTTATGAATTCGGACTTTAACCAATCTTCAGGGATATCACCAGTTGAATAAACATCATTGAAAAGTTTGACCAGTATTCCAATGTTCTCCTCATTTATAAGCTTTAACATCTCTGTCGGTATGTTATCAGGGCCAACGGCTTTCTTGTTCTTTGCTAACTTTATAGCATGCAGTATTTCTGATTTTATTATTTCTAGTCCTTCACCTTCAACTAAAGTCTCCAGTTCTTCAGGTCTATCATCATTATATAGTTCACTTATATAATTACACCAGGTTGTTCGAATTTCATGTTCGTCTATTATCATTTTTCCCGACGAATCGGTTATAGTATGTGGAGTTTTCTTATGATAAAGACCAGCTACTTCTCTAACTTTTTTAAACATATTAAACATATCATGTTTTTCATTCAACTTTTCTAATTCCTTGCATTTATCCTTCATCCATTTTTCTTTAGCCACCTTTATTTTTTATTTAATTAGTTTCTGTTTTTCCTTATATTCTGTCTTGTTACCTTTCAGTTTTCTTCTCTGCTCCATTAATTCCAGGATTTCATCAGTCATCCATTGTTGTTTTTTTATGCCTGTGTAACGTTGTTGAATATTTTTCTATTACTTTCAAGGTAAGATCTTTAAATGTGTTCCATATTTCTGTGTTGTTTTCATTTATTGATTTCTTTAGCTCATTGTTTAAGTCATTTTCTATTAACGTTTTGTTGGATATTGAGATATTTAATTTTGGTGTTTTGGGGGCTTTCTTGGACTTTTTTGAGCTTCACTTTGATGTCAGTTATTACAGGGTTATGGTCTGAACCGATATCTGCACCAGGATATGTCGTTACTCTGGTGACGCCATTCTTAAATCTCTTGTTTACCAGAAAATAGTCTATCTGATTTCTAATCATATGTAGTGAATTATCTCCTGATCCTCTCCATGTGTATAACCTTCTTTTGTGTAATTTGAACCATGTATTTGCGATTATCATGTCATGTTCTTGACAGACTGGTATAATCTATCACCTCTTTCATTGCTCTCCCCTAGTCCATATTCACCTACCAGGTCAGATCTTCGGCCTTGGCAAATTTTTGCGTTAAAATCTCCAATAATATATGTGACTTCGTTACTTTTTAGATTTTTAAGTGTCTGTTTTATTCGGCTATAGAATGATTCGCCATCATTGTCGTATTTCTTTTCTGCAGTAGGGGCATATATCTGGATAACATTGACATTAAATGGTTTGTTATTTAATTGGAGTATTGCTAGTCTGTCGTTCGCTGGTATAAAATTTTTCACATATTTCTTAAATTTAGACATTATAAATATGCCAACTCCATTCCTATGATGTGTGTCATCTTCTACACTTCCAGAATAGTATAGTGTGCCTTCATCTTGTTCACATATTCCCGTTCCAGGCCACCGGAGCTCACTGATGCCCAGTATATCAATTTTTAAATGTTTAACTTCTTGAACTAAGTAACATTAATACATAAGATAATTACACTTAAAATATAGTATTTACACTTATTAAAAAATATATAACATAAAACATGACTACGAAACAACTAACTATTGACTGTTTGAGGAAGCTTATTAAAAAGATAAAGACCCTTAAACAACAAAGAGTTTCTTGAAGAGGTCCTTTTGGTTTTCACAATGTTTAAATTGCATTTACCTCGAGTAGGGTACAATTCTGTGTAATAAACTCACAAAAGTAAGCAGGGGCCAAATTATTTAGAATTTGAAATTCCTAAATAAGTTTCCTAAGCTCTTTAAATGTCTTATAGCAAATCAATTTTATTGGTTATGTGAAGGCTTAATATCTCAATCGCATGTTTTTTATAGCAAAAAATCCAGTGCAACAGACTTGGTTTGCTATCAATCTGATATATTATCTCAAATGGAAGACTGTAAACACATAGATGCAATATGTATAGATTTTTTCAATGCATTTGATCGTGTAGAGTAGATCACCAAATACTTTTGGGCAAATTAATTAATGTGAGCTTTCATGCCAGGTTTGTTGAATGGATTAAAAACTCTACATCTGGTAGAAGTCAAAGAGTCAAGATAGGTTTTCATCTGTCTGGCAGTATCTCATCAACATCTGGAGTTCCTCAAGGAGGCCACACTTCTTTTTAATATCTTCGTTAACCATATCACTTCCTGTTTCCTAAATGCAAATGTCTAATGTTTTCGGATGACTTGAAATTTTGGAAAGTTATACTTAGATAGCTTAAAAGATTAAGCCTTGTTGCAAGATGACAGACAGACTACAAAATTGGTGCAATCAGAACAAACTCCGCTTAAATGTAAAACATGTTGTTTTATAAGTTCTTCTCGTAAAGTCAATAGAATTTAAACAAGTTCTACTATTAATAATCAGCCACTGAATTATGTTTCTTCTATTCGAGATTTGGGTGTAATTTTTGATGAGAAGCTTCCTTTCTGTGACCACATAAACTCGAGGCCACATAAACTCATAAGTTTTGATTAAGGCATCTAAACTTCTTGGTTTCATTACTAGGAATTGCAAGTATTTTTCCATTGATTCAACAAGATTAGTGTATTTGGTCACCCTATTTTCAGAACAATATTGATACCATACTGTACTGTACTCTTACACAAGAAGGGAGATATAGCAGACCTGGAAAGATACAGACCAATCAGTCTCCTTAATCATCTTTATAAATTATACACCCTAATAATAACGAACAGATTAGAGACAAAGCTGGATTTTTACCAATCTCGGGAACAAGCCGGTTTCCGTCCTAATTACGGCACAAACGATCACCTGCAGTGCCTAAAAACCCTGATAGAAAAAACTAACGAATATAATCGTCCCTTGCCATTGATATTTGTAGACTTTAAAAGGGCGTTTGATACAGTGGAACTACCGTCCATCTTAAGAGCACTACAAGATTGCAGGGTCGACCACAGATATTGTAATATTGTTAAAAATATATATGAAAATGCCACAACAACCATAAGTCTACATTCTGCAACTAATAAAATAAAGATAAAAAGGGGAGTCAGGCAAGGTGATACCATGTCACCAAAGCTGTTCATTACCGTTCTTGAGTATGCATTTAAAAGACTAACATGGCAACAGAAAGGAATATCCATCGATGGAGAAAGATTAAACCATCTACGTTTTGCGGACAATATCGTGCTTCTGTCAGATAATCTGGGAGAGATCAAAGACATACTCCAAGAACTGAACGACATACTACAAGAAACTGGGCTGGAGATAAATTTCGAGAAAACCAAAATGATGACCAATATGGTTCCCAGCGAAGAGATACAGATCAATAACAACAAGGTAGAATTAATCGATAAATACACATACTTGGGTCATGAAATTAGAATAACCAGAGACCACCAAACCTGCTAGCTAAATAGACGAATCACGTTGGGATGGGCGGCATATGGAAGGATGAGAGAAATTTTTAAAACAAATATCCCAATTCACCTGAAAAGGAAGGCATTTAACCAATGCATCTTACCAGTCTTGACCTACGGAGCAGAGACCCTAACTTTAACGAAAGCTACTGCCGAAAAACTGAGGGTAACACAAAGGCGAATGGAGAGATCAATGCTGGGCCTGACCTTGAAAGATCGCGTGAGAAATGAGGGGTACGCCGACGAACTGGCGTAAACGATATTATACTGCGAATCAATAAACAATAGTGGAGGTGAGCTGGACATGTTGCTAGAATGGAAGACGGAAGATGGACGAAGAGATTATTGGAGTGGAGACCAAGAGCCGACAAGCGAAGTCGAGGCAGACCACCCACCCGATGGACCGACTACCTAAGGAGAATAGAAACAAACTGGATTGCAGCAGCTAGAGATAGAGAGAACTGGAGACGTTTGGAGGAGGCCTATATCCAACAATGGATGTGAAAATGGGGCTGGATGATGATGATGATTGATACCATAGAAAGAGTCCAGCTTATTGTGCTTACCAAGTCCACACTACTATTGAAAATCATGATTATTCCCATATCAAACAATAATTATCTTTACTCTCACTTAAGAACTGTCGTGTTATGTCAGGAGCTATATTTATATATAAGATCATACATAGATTTATTGATACATGTTTATTATTTATGACATGCCTCAAGAAGACAGTTTCAGAATCTTTATTTTCAATGGTACTAGTAATGTATATATTAGATAGCAACTAATGAATGGTTAAATGTTTTTATTAATTAACAGTGTAAATAATGATTTTTTTTTATAGAAATATGAGAATATTTTAAAAAATAAATCAGGAAATTACGTAGGCAAAGTAAACTCCCTTATCGACGTTTGGAAATCTTTCTATGAAATAACAAAGAAACCTTTCGATATCCAACAAGTACTAGAAATTCTAGATTGGGCTAAACTGCATACGCTAGAACTAGTCCTCACTGCAGATTGGAGAACATGCGAAGGTAACGAATATTTAATACCTTTTCCCTTATTACTTTGTTAATTTTAAATCAGTTTATTATTAATTTGCATTGCGACCATTTTGTGATAATTAATTAATAACTGAATCAGTTTATTTTTTTTCTTTTATTTTTATGCACAACAGGCCGTTAAGGCCTAGGGCATTTTTTTTACACATAATCCTAATATTAACCAATGACAAATATTTTAAACAAAACTTTAACTTTAATATGTATATACAACATTCTTAACTACTCTGAAGGACCTGGTGGACAATATTTCTCCATTCGCTTCTATTTTGTCTTTTTCCTTTCCAGTCCCTCACCTTCACGTGTTTAAGGTCTTCCTCCACTTTACTAATCCACCTCGTTCTGGGTTTACCTCTTCTTTTGGGGCCGATTAGTTTTCTGGTTATTACTAGTTTGGACATTCTGTTTGCTGCCATTCTTTCCACACGTCCTAACCATCTGATTCTTTGTCACTTGACGAACTTGGTAATGGTAGGTTCTTTGTATAAAGCCATTAATTCATTGTTGGTTCTTCTCTCCCAACCATCGTCTGTCTTCCGTCCTCCGAATATTCGTCTCAATATTTTCCTTTCCCATTTTTTCAGAGTATCCTATTCCTTCTTATTTAATATCCATGTCTCACCGGCATATGTTACTGTGGGTCGAATTACTGTTTTATATATTCTGAGTTTACCTTGTCTAGAAACGTATTTTGAGTTCAGTAGGGCTCTTAAACTACCAAATTTTTATTCCCTTTTGCTATTCTGGCTTCGAGCTCCCATTTCTCTTTTCCATTTTCATCGAAAACTACACCCAACTATTAAAATTTGTCCACCCTTTTAAAACTATAGCTTTTACCACTTACAGACTTCACACTAAAGTCTTCTTTTTTACCTTCTGTCCCTGTGTGCTTCTTCTGTGCTTCTTCGATGATTTTCTTCACAACTCTTCTTTATTATTTCTCCATTTTTGCTAGGATCGTTAAATCGTCAGCAAATGCCAAGCACTGGTGCTAATTTTTTATGATTGTTTCTTCCACCTTCATGTTGCATTTTCTGATTATAGTTTTTAACACTAAGTTGAATATAGTGGATAAAGGATCTTCCTGTCTCAAGCCTTTTGCAACCATAAATTGATCTGATATCTGACCCTGCCAAGCAATTTCACACTTAGAGTTATTTAATGTCATTTTTACTAGCAGGATCAGTTTCTTTGGTATACCCAAATGTTCTATTGCTCGATACATTTTGACTTTATCGACTCTATCATATGCTTCTCTAAAATCCACAAACAAAACATGCAGGGGAACTTTACCTTCATAACAAGTCGTTTGTATCTCCTTTAATGAGAAGATTTGGTCTGCAGTAGATCTGTCCCTTCTAAAGCCGGCCTGATATTCATGTAGGATTCTTTCCGTGTAGCAATTTAGTTTATTTCTCAATATTCTTGCCAAGATTTTGTATACCGTGTCTAGTAAGGCTATACTTCTATAGTTGTCACACTTCAGTTTGTCTCCTTTTTTATGCAGAGGGCATATGCGGGCCTCATACCACTCCGATGGCATTATTTCCTTTTCCCATACTTGCACTAGTAGCTGATATATTTTTCTTTGTAGTTGTTCTCCACCAAACTTGATAATTTCTATGCATATGTCATTTTTACCAGGACTTCTGTTATTTTTTATTTCTTGTATTGCTGTCACCACCTCCTCCTCTGTAGGCTGCCTTTCAACTATCGCATCTTCTCCAACCGTCCAGTTGTCTACTGCTTCACCACTGCTTTGCTCACCATTTAATAATCCTTCAATTTTTTTTTTCAATTCCGTCATTATTTCTGCCGGATAGTTAATTAAATTTCTGTCTTTACCTTTCATATAACTACAGTGGCTTTGGTAATCTTTTCCCATTTTTTAACTTCTTGATAGAACGACCTCACCTCTTTGTTTTTAAACGTCTCTTCTATCTCTTTTAATTTCAACTCATTGTGGTATCTCTTTTTCCTTCTACACAGAGCTTTCAAATCTTCCTCGAATTATTCTATATTCTTGTTTTTTACACTCTCTATTATCTGTTAATAATTGTTGTCTTGTCTTCTTCTTTTCCTTTGCTATCGCCTGCCACTCTTCGTCAAACCAATCTTTGTTTGCACTTCTTTTGGAGTCGCACTTAACTATTTTCTCGGCTTCTCCTACGGCAGATTTAATTTGTTCCCAGGCTTGATCTGTCTGTAAATTTTGGTCACATTGTTGTAGAATTTTATTTATTTCTTCTTCATATTTATTTTTTATTTCTACTTCCGTAAGTTTTTCAATATTGTACTTTCTCTTCGTTTTATGGTTCGATTTCTCTTTTTCTTCCAGCCTTCTCCCACATGTTACTTTAACGAGGTAATGGTCCGAGTCGATTTCAGCTCCTCTCATACTTCTTACTTTCTGAATGATATTGGTATATTTACTTTCAATCATACCATTATCTATTTGATTCACCTTCCTTCCATCTGGGGAGACCAACGTACCTTTGTATATCTCTTTTCGTTTTAGTTGTGTGCTTCTCTCCACCATGTTTTTCTCCATGGCAAATCCAATAAGTCTTTGACTATTATCGTTTGTTACTTTGTGTTTACTATAGTTACCACTTACTGCAGTGTACAGAGGTTCTTCTCCCACTTTATCATTACAATCACCCATTATTATTTTTACATCTCGTTTAGGTAGGCCCTCGTATTCATCATTCAGCTGCTCATAGTAAAGATTTTTTATTTCGTCGTCCTTGTCTTTTGACGGTGCATGAATATTGGTTATACTCCAATTTCTTTTCTTACTTTTAATTCGTATTGAACACATCCTATCAGAGATAGGATTAAAAGCTTTGTCCTTAATAGGTTCAGCTACTAAAAAACCAGTTCCAAGCGTTCTATCTTTACCTCCACTTTTGAAGAGCACCATATCTTCTATATCAGTTATTTCCGATCCCAATTGTTTTGTCTCTTGAAGAGCCATTAAATCGATTTTATAGTTCCTTGTCTCATTCATTAGTTCTTTTAACGCACCTTCATAAAAGGTTCCACTGACATTACATGTAGCTAAATGTATCTTGTCATTCTTCGGCGTTACCTTTATATTACTGTCTTGTTTTGTTTCGTTTTCATAGTTCATAATCCTTTTCTTCGCATTGTTCGTCTTCATTTCGTTCCTTTTCATGCTGGTGCTTAGTTTTTTGCTTTGGTCTCTATCACCAACGTTTGGTTCATGCCATCCCAGCGCCAAAGTAAAAATAATTTGCTTACTGGCAGAAATTGGGTATTATCCTTTTTACTTAAGAAAGTCACAAAGACATTGGAATAACAACTCTTTTGAGTGCTTTGCTCTTCAAGAACATTAGCGACCAGTCGCATAATCTTTACTTTGTGCTAAACGGAACCAAATAGTGTCGTCTTGGTGCTGACTCCATACCACTGGCTTTTCACAGGATATCTTCATCGTCTAGGACCACGTAGTTCCACTGAAAAATTGATAAATCCCTAGATGAGAGTCTTTTTTAATATCTCATACTACACATTGCATTTGTCAAACCCGTTTATACAGTTGGATCAAGTAAAAAACTAACTTAATTGGCCTATGACATAGGCAAAATATTTCAATTTTTTTTTCATGGTATTCAGAACACCTCTCATTGTTTAGACGTTGTAAAACTGCTTGATTCATTACTCGGTAAGTCCATTTCTTCTTCTTCTTGTGCTGTCTTCACTAATGAAGTTTGGCTATAACCATTGTAAATTCGTCTCTTATCTTCTGCTTTTCTTAAGACGGTCAATCCATGCCAAGTGGTCCAAAGGTGGATGCTTAACTATTTTTAATTTTTCTTCCTTTTATACTTCAGTCTATAGACAGTACAAAATTGCATTCATTTTATTTTTAAAAAATTTATTTTGCCGATGGCGGCCATTTTTGTTTCATTTTGACGGTCATTTTCACGGAAAACATGGCTTTACTCTGTAGCCAATATTTTCACTTATGTTTGTCCTAAAACAATAAATCAAAAACCAAACTGCTTGGAAAAGTATGCTCTAAAAAATGTTCTATATCATTATTTAATTACAAACTACCCTTAATGCATTAAATTAACCTCAAAGTTTCAAAAGGTAAACTGATAAAGTTCCGTTTTCAGCATTTTTAATAACATATGGGAAGCTTAAGGCCCGTTTTCACGCTACGTCTTATTGTACGTTTTGTCGGTCATATAAAACGTACGACAAAACGTACGTTTTATCCAGTGTATACACACAATGTATTTGGATTTCATTTCGATTCGACAAGACGTACGTTTTGCTGTTTACACGCCACGTTTTATTGTATAGGATTTGTCCTATCCAACAGAACGTACAATAAGACGTAGCGTGAAAACGGGTCTTTATAATGGTTTGTAATTTTTTTCTCTAAAAGACATACATACATACTTTAAATGAAAAAAGTTTGAGCTTTGACACTTTACTAAATTTTTTCAAAAAAATCTCAAAAATGTAATTTTTTGAAAAATTTCAAAGTTTGAGCCCTTATATCTCTGATGGGCAAGCAAGAAAAAATTTGAAATTTGGCTGAATGTTAGTTCCTAATGAGTAGAATTAGGGGTAAACATTTGAAGTTGTAGACTTAAGGCATATAGGAGTTACAGGCCTGAGTAAATGGCAAAAAATCATTAATTTGAACGTTTGCGGTAGAGTAATTAAAATTCAAAGAAACTGTCTAATGAAATAAAAATTAAAGTATTTTCACCAAATTTCACAATAAATACAAATTTATACTACATTATAGAAATATTAATCTTCATTTAGAAGAAAACAGCAGGATTTGCCCTGGAAAAAAAAGACCGTGTGTCTGTGCGCATCGAAGGAAAGCCAGTCCATAAACAAAAATATCTTCTATGCATCATAAGTAATATCAACAACATAACACTGCCGTGGTTCACTGTTTTCAGAAATATTTTATTGAAGACTTAAAAGCTATTGCTCCAGATGTTAAAAGAGTAATTTATTTTACTGATGGTGCCAGTAGCCAATATAAAAATAAAAAAAAAATTCCTGAATATCTGTCATCATAAGCAAGATTTTGGTCTACAGGCGGAATGGCATTTTTTTTGCAACGGTCCACGGGAAAAATGCATGCGACGGTATCGGCGGCAGACCCAAAGAGTAGTTACTAAAACCAGTTTACAATCAACTTGTAAGAATCAAATTTTAACTGCAAAAGATATGTTTGATTTCTGTTTACAGAATTTAAAAGGTATTCAGTATTATTATCTTGAAAGTGAAGAAATCCTACAAAATGAATCACAACTTGAAGAGAGATTTAAAACTTGTTTGAAAATTCCTGGCACGCGTTCTTTTCATGAATCGTACCAATCTCAGAAAATAAAGTCAAATGTTTTCAAACATCCCAGGCAACTAACTATTTAAAATTTTTCACAACAAGTCCTATCTCCATTTCCCTAAGTGAAAAGGATGTAATAGCATGTGTGTATGATGGCAAGTGGTGGCTAGGGGTAATAAAAACTGTCAGCATTGAACATCATGACTTCTATGTGCACTTTTTTGAACCTTCTGGACCCAGAACATCATTTAAGTTAAGTGCTCATGATGAAGCTTGGGTGCCTTTTCATAAAATCTTGAAGAAAATCACACCCTCAGAATTAAAAACAGCAACTGGACGCAATTATAACATATCAAGATTTATGCAATAAAATATTCCAACTTCTGAACTGTCAAAATTCTGAATGAAGGTTAATATTTCTATAATGTAGTATAAATTTGTATTAATTGTGAAATTTGGTGAAAATACATCAATTTTTATTTAATTGGACAGTTTATTTGAATTTGAACGAAGGATCCTGAGAGGAATATTTGGTGGCATCTGTGAAAATGGTGTTTGGAGGAGGAGATACAACTAGAGGTATACCATAGATATAAACAAATATTTGATGGTAAAGACGTAGTATCTCTTATAAGAATAGGAAGACTAAGATGGGCAGGACATCTAGCAAGATCACAGCAGAACAACCCTCCTAGAAGAATCCTTATGCCACAACCCGTGGGAAGTAGAAAAAGGGGTAGGCCAAAACTCAGATGGAAGGATGGTGTAGATGAGGATGGTAGAAAGATAGGCGCAGCAAACTAGCAACGGTTGGCAATGGATAGGACTGCCTGGCGTAATAGACTTGGGAAGGTCGAGGCTCTTTCATAGGGCTGTACCACCATTGATGATAATGATTTGAATTTTAATTACTTTACCGCAAACGCTCAAATTCATGATTTTTTGCCATTTACTCAGTCCTGTAACTCCTATATGCCTTTAGTTTACAACTTCAAATTTTTACCCTCTATTCTACTCATTAGGAACTAACATTCAGCCAACTTTCAAATTTTTTCTTGCTTGCCCATCAGAGATATAAGGGCTCAAACTTTGAAATTTTTCAAAAAATTTAATTTTTGAGATTTTTTTGAAAAGATTGACTTAAGTCTCAAAGCTCAAACTTTTTTCATTTAAAGTATGTATGTATGTATTTTCCAGAAAAAAATTACAAACCATTATCAGCTTGCCTTATGTTGTTAAAAAAAATGCTGAAAACGGAATTTTATCAGTTTATCTTTCCAAAGTTTGAGGTCCATTTAAGGTCTTAAGGGTAGTTTGTAATTAAATAATGCTATGGACCACTTTTTTAGAGCATACTTTTCCAAACAGTTTGGTTTTTGATTTATTGTTTTAGGACAAAGCTAAGTGAAAATATTGGTTAAGAGTGAAGACATGTTTTCCGTGAAAATGACCGACACGATGAAACAAAAATGGCCGCCATCGGCAAAATAAATTAAAAAAAAATAAAATTAATGCAACTTTGTACTGTCTATAGACTGAAGTATATAAAAGGTAGAAAAATAACAAATATTAAAAATAGTCAAGCATCCCCCTTTGGACCACTTGGCATGGATTGACCCTATCTTTTTTACCCTCAGTTTGATTTTTGATACAAGGAGGTTATGGTCTGAGGGGACATCTGCTCTAGGAAAAGTCTTAACGCTTACAATGGAATTTCTAAATCTTAGATTGGTTAGAATAAAGTCGATCTGATTTCTAATGCAATTTTGTTCATTATCCTGTGGTTCATTATCACCAGGTATACGGTATTCTAAAAATCCTCGGTAAGCCCACGTTTCGACAACCGCAGTTCTTTTACACATTGTTTCACTGTTAACAAAATATCTCGCAGTATCTTCATGCACAATTACAGATAACATTTTAATTACTTTTTCTTTTTAGATGTTTACAAAGAACAGTTGTTGTCTTATATTCACCATTCCGAAAAAAATCTATTTAGAAAGAACCAAGTTCTAGGACAAAGATGTAAACAATTGCTAGACGTAGCCAAAGATCCCTGGGACGATCCTGTGTTAAACAGACTCATGAATGAAGATGTTACAATCGGACCACAAGGTAATTAATATAATTATATATCTATAATATACAGGGTGTCTCAATACACTTGTCATAAATTATACAACAGTTTCTTACGATAAAGATAAGATGGTGTGTTATCATTTATCTGTATGGAAAGGTTCACTCAAAAAAAGTTAGTTTGTCATAACAAAACTTTTGTGTGGGGAAAAACAAGTATTCCATTATATTTGCCCATTTGACTAATTTATAAAATTTTTAAGAGGTTTCAAAAACCGTATACAGGGTGAAATTTTTTCTTTGAACAAAAGAACAAATTTTTTTAAACCGGACCTGATTTTTTTCAGATTGAATAAATCAAACTGGAAAAAATCAGGGTCCGGTTTGTTTGTCCAGCCTTGACTTAAAATTTTGTTCACAAAAATTTAATTTTGCATTTTACATTTTTTACATGCTTCACTTTGCTAAAATTCATAGTCAAATTTAATTTTTTTTAATTAAAAATTAAGTAATCGTGTAAGGGGAAAAATAAATGTGGCATTTTGATTGTCGATTTTTAATCAAATTCTTATTATAGTTTCAAAAACCGTATACAGGGTGAAATTTTTGCTATGAACAAAATTAACTAAGTCTTTTAAGCTGAACCTAATTATTTGCTAGTTTGAATAAATCAGTTGATTAGGTGATAGTAGTGTAACGTGTGACGAAAATATGAGACACGTCGAACTTATCCTTCAAAAGTTATGACGAATAGAAATTTCAGTCAAAATTCACAACTCACCCTATATAGTATTAAAGAATGGGGGAAGGCACTTTTTAATGATCATTTATTAATCTCCTTACGGGCCTCGATACGAGGTAGGAGTATGCACAATTCCTCATATGACTGCAGGAATCGCAAAAAGAAGAGGTGAGAAAAAACTACGAAACATATATTGACACTAATTATAGAGGGACAGAAACACAAGTAGAGCAAATATGGAAAGAAATTTCCTGACTAATAACAGAAGCAATACAAAAAATATACACACAGAAAAAAAATTGAAAATTTTTTAAATTGAAAAAAAGTTTTAAATTGATCTGAATGTGATGATATGTAACAAAGTGAACACAAATATATTTCACTGCAAAATATACTTTGGATATTTGGGACACCTTGTACAATACAATATACCATACCATACTATATTATAAATAAAAGTAGTAAGGATATTTTTATATACAATATAGGTTTATTTTTTTTCTGTTACTAATTTAGATAATTATAGTACATTTGATAATAATAAGTTGTTTAACCTATAAAAATATACAGAATGAGCATTTGTAGCAACAAAATCTAATTTAGATATCCTCGAAAATTCAATTTTCATAATTTGATAATTTTATAAAAATATCCTTGAACTTTTCCCATATATACAACATATACATGTGTACAGGTTGATCAACTTTCCGTAATATCTGTGATTATAAGAGTTACAAATATACAAGGTTTTCCATAACACTTTACCACATGAAAGATTTTTTTTTTTAAGTAAAACCCCCTGTATTTTATTTTAAATCTAACATCCGCGTCACTTCCTCGTTACAAGAATATACAGTTGTTTTATGTTATACAGAAGATTTAAAAAGTTATAACTAAACGACTCCACATCATTCTTATAAAAAATTTTCAGGTGGCTAACTAGATCTCCAGGTTTCATTATTTGTGTCCGTCGCAGTTTTAAGGCGGTAGTTACTGCTTCCCTCCTTATGCAGAACTACAAGGGAGGAAGGTTCAGCATCGCTTCTAGAGCTGCAGTGGGACATGTTGACATTGTCCCTGTGATTCCCAGACAAGCTAGCCGCTGTACTTTTTGCAGCTTGGCGTTAGCTGTTGTTTGTTGTGTTTGTGGCCACCTTACAAATGATGCGTAGGTGACCATGGGCCTAATTAGTGTTTTATATGACCAGAGAGTCATTTTCGGTTGTAGGCCCCCAAGTCTTTTCAAACGTGCATGAAGCCTTTTTGGAGTAAAGCAGGAAATATTCCGTCCTTACTAAGGGGTTTAAAAGGTTTAAAGCTTTTAACGACCCATTCGATTTTATTTTGTGTAAAGATTTTTTCCGCTAGTTGTCTGCTGGATCTGTTGGCCCCTTGAAGCCTCTGCCAGCTGCATACTTTGCGGTTCATCTTGTATTTGTTGAGAGCCAAGAAAATAGGTCTTCAACAGCTCTCTAATAGTTTCCGTTAGACTCTCAGTATAGTCACCATTCGGCTTTTTGATCAGTCCGATTTCATTTGTGTGATCTTTTAAGAGAATCTTTTGGAGTCGTTGTGTAGGGGCTAATTCTGTTATCCCTTCGCACATTTTCTCCACGAGTTTCTCTTTGATTTTCTTAGTTCTTTGTTGTGTTCTGTAGGAGTCCCAACTACCTGTAGATTTTTCCCTATTGCAGAGTTGTCTGACTTTTTTTCTAAGTTTAGTTAACTCTTTATTCCAACAGGAAACATCCCTAGTGGTTTTCTTGTGTTTTATCATCATCAGTGGCGTTACAGCTCTTTATGAGCCAAAGCCTTCTTCAGAACAATCCTCCATTCGCCCCTGTCTCTGGCAACTCTTCTCCATGCTCTAATTGACTTCAAATCATCTTCTAGGTTGTCTTGGTACCTAAGTCTCGGTCTTCCTCTTCTTCGTTGTCCGATCTACTCTCTTCGGTCAAAAACTTTTCTGACTATGGCATTTTCCTCTCGTCTGATTACATGACCTATTCATCTAAGGCGTGCTACCTTAATGAATTTTACAACGTCAGGTTCTCCAAAACTTCTATACAACTCAAAATTGTAACACCTGCGCCACAAACCTTGTTCTTTTATGCCTCCATATATTCGTCTTAGTATTTTTCGCTCAAAACGTTTGAGCAATTCTTGGTCATTCTGTGTTAGTGTCCAAGTTTCTGAACCATATGTTAGCACTGGTCTTATTAGTGTTTTGTATAAAGTCAGTTTCATTTTTCTAGGCATTTTTGAGGCCATCTGTCTTCTTAAGCCATAGTAACACTTATTGGCGAGCACTATTCTTCTTTTAATTTCCTCACTGACGTTGTTTCAGTTGTCGTTGTCGTTAGATTTTCCTCTATGTCGAGCGACGTATCGAGTTCCTCCATTTCGCTTTCGAGACACTCTTTAGATATAATAACTTAGGAATTTAGAAATAACAACTTGGGAAAATATATTAAAAACAACAAGAACCAAAATAAAAAGCACTTACACAGTGGTGTATACAAGCTTAAATGTAGCGGCTGCCCAAAAACTTACATCGGTCAAACTGGTAGAAATTTTAATAAACGAATAGCGGAACATAAAAGGGCTTTCAATAATAGAAAAACAGATTCGCACTTCACCTTCTAGATCATAATCATTCTTTTAATGACGAATTAAAAATTCTTCACATTCAAAATAAAGGCCTTAAACTATTTTTGTTAGAATCTATGGAAATTAACAAATTAAAAAACAGATATAATTCTGAATGACCAACTTGAGACAAACAGTTCTCCTTTCCTCAACTTATTTCATTAAAGACTATAAAGTGTAAACTCATGCCAAAATAGGTTACTTGAGAAATGCAACCACTACTGAAACAGCTATACTGATAAGATTATATAATAAATTTTTGTGGAAAAATCATGTTTTTGGTATCTCCTACAATAACAGATATTACGGACTTTGTCATAAAAGTTTATCACCTTGTGTACACAGGGTGTCCTGGAAAATAGTGCGTTCCTTAAAGATATGTGCAGATTGCAGCATTTAAAACAAAAAAGCCTTATATTTTTTTATAAAGTTAACCGTTTTCAAAAAAAAAAAAAAAATTAATCCATTTTATTATTGTTCCCAAAAAAGGAAATACAGCCGGCAACGTTGCGTTCCTTGTTATTCTTCGTTTGTAAATCAGCTATCATGTATCATCGATCGTTAGGCATATTATGTATTGAAACTGATAACAGTGATGGAGAAAAATCATATTATTTGTTTTTATTAAATATTTAATAATTAAAGTTTAAACACTGTTTTTACTTACATGGAAAATTATTATTACAATAAATGTTCGAAATGACCACTATTTGCACAGATACACGCGTTTATTCGACGAATCCAATTATTCTTAATATTATAAGTAGGTATGTAAATTTGATTATTTCAGCAACATCAAAAATTCGTTGTCGCAATTGAGCTTCTGTTTTAATTTCATTCTGGTTGTCGTATACTAATGATTTTAGATGTACCCAAAAATAAAAGTCCATAACATTTGATTCTGGTGTTCTGGGTGGCCACAGAACGTGTCCATTTCTACCGATTCAACGACGAGGATAAGTGATGTCGAGGAAACTTTAATATGTCTTGTAAAATGTGCTGGAGCCCCGTCATGAAGAAACCACATTTCAGAGCCGATTTGTAACGGAACGTCTTCAAGAAGTATCGGTAGAACATGCTGCAAAAAATTTAAATAAGTTTCTCCATTCAATCTTCTGGGAAGTTGTACGGTCCATCAGATGATTACCAATAATCCCAGCCCATAAATTTATACTAAATTGCTTTTAAAAATTTGTCCTACGTATATATCATACGGGTTTTCATCACTCCACACGTGACAATTGTGAAAATTAAACACACCATGTCTATTAAAACAAGCTTCATCTGCACACAACACTTTGCACGGTAATACGGGTTCTCTGACGATTTGTCTTTGAAACCATCTACAAAATCTTAATCTTCAAGGTAAATCGCCTTGGTGTAAATCTTGCACTCGTGGGTAATGGTAAGGATGTAACAGTTGTTCCGTAAATGTCTTGTGAATAATGTTTTTTGAAATGCCAACCGTTCTAGCCACAGATCGGGTACTTACTCTTGGATTATTACTGACTATATCCAAAATCACATCTTCTGCATTTAGTCTACGATTACTTCGTGTTCTACCGCTAGTTTTTTTAGGTATCACACAACCCGTCTCTAATAACCTTTGGGACACGTTTACAAAACTTTGGGCATTAGGATGTCGTCGTTCGGGATAGCGTTTAAATGAAAAAAGTTTGAGCTTTGAGACTTTCAGTTTTTTTAAAAAAAATCTCAAATGTAATTTTTTGAAAAATTTGAAAGTTTGAGCCCGTATATCTCTGATGGGCAAGCAAGTAAAAATTTGAAATTTGGCTGAATGTTAGTTCCTAATGAGTAGAATAAGGGGTAAAAATTTGAAGTTGTAGACTTACGGCATATAGGAGTTATAGGCCTGAGAAATTGGCACAAAATCATTAATTTGAGCGTTTGCGGTAGAGTAATTAAAATTCAAATAAACTGTCTAAAGAAATAAAAATTAATGTATTTTCACAAAATTGCACAATGAATACAGATTTATACTACATTATAGAAATATTAACCTTCATTTAGAATTTTGACAGTTCAGAAGTTGGGATATTTCATCGCATAAATCTTGAGATATGTTATGCATCCAATTGCTGTTTTTAGTTCTGAGGGTGTGATTTTCTTCATGATTTTATGAAAAGGCACCCAATGAATGCTGGATGATGAAATCTGAATTATCAGTATTTGGAAGAGGCTGAATTGAAGAAATATTAAGTTGGTTGCACTGTAGAAGCCTTCAACAAATAATGTCGAATTATATTTCTGAATACCTAACACTCTAAATTTTACATTTTGATCATACTGCCCAAATTTAATATGTAATGTAAATTTTAATGGTTATATTTGTGAAAAAGGTGAAAAAGACAGCAAATATTTGATTTCACGCAAACAGCGCCTTTGTATCTGTTGATACGTATTTCGACCTAATAGGTCTCATCAGAACAGTTATTCAAAGGTGTTCTCAACGTGAAAGATCAATATTTCCTGTCTTTTAAGAAGCAACAATAACATGGCTTCGAATACGGACGCACTAGCGACATCTAATTTAACAATCGTAAAATAGTTTCGAAACACAATTCAGATTTCTGCTTATATCTGTGCTTTCTAAAAATTGCAAAGCAAAACAGACGTTGATAAAGGTGTTAAAAGAGACGTGGGGAATCTAAAATTTGCATTCCACGACACATCTTTTCAACTAAGCAGAAATCCTTAGCGAATTGGTTTCTTGTACTCGTACAGAGTAAATCCGAAAAAAGTGAAAAAGACAGCAAATATTTGATTTCACGCAAACAGCGCCTTTGTATCTGTTGATACGTATTTCGACCTAATAGGTCTCATCAGAACAGTATTCAAAGGTGTTCTCAACGTGAAAGATCAATATTTCCTGTCTTTTAAGAAGCAACAATAACATGGCTTCGAATACGGACGAACTAGCGACATCTAATTTAACAATCGTAAAATAGTTTCGAAACACAATTCAGATTTCTGCTTATATCTGTGCTTTCTAAAAAATTGCAAAGCAAAACAGACGTTGATAAAGGTGTTAAAAGAGACGTGGGGAATCTAAAATTTGCATTCCACGACACATCTTTTCAACTAAGCAGAAATCCTTAGCGAATTGGTTTCTTGTACTCGTACAGAGTAAATCCGAAAAAAGTGAAAAAGACAGCAAATATTTGATTTCACGCAAACAGCGCCTTTGTATCTGTTGATACGTATTTCGACCTAATAGGTCTCATCAGAACAGTTATTCAAAGGTGTTCTCAACGTGAAAGATCAATATTTCCTGTCTTTTAAGAAGCAACAATAACATGGCTTCGAATACGGACGCACTAGCGACATCTAATTTAACAATCGTAAAATAGTTTCGAAACACAATTCAGATTTCTGCTTTATATCTGTGCTTTCTAAAAATTGCAAAGCAAAACAGACGTTGATAAAGGTGTTAAAAGAGACGTGGGGAATCTAAAATTTGCATTCCACGACACATCTTTTCAACTAAGCAGAAATCCTTAGCGAATTGGTTTCTTGTACTCGTACAGAGTAAATCCGAAAAAAGTGAAAAAGACAGCAAATATTTGATTTCACGCAAACAGCGCCTTTGTATCTGTTGATACGTATTTCGACCTAATAGGTCTCATCAGAACAGTTATTCAAAGGTGTTCTCAACGTGAAAGATCAATATTTCCTGTCTTTTAAGAAGCAACAATAACATGGCTTCGAATACGGACGCACTAGCGACATCTAATTTAACAATCGTAAAATAGTTTCGAAACACAATTCAGATTTCTGCTTTATATCTGTGCTTTCTAAAAATTGCAAAGCAAAACAGACGTTGATAAAGGTGTTAAAAGAGACGTGGGGAATCTAAAATTTGCATTCCACGACACATCTTTTCAACTAAGCAGAAATCCTTAGCGAATTGGTTTCTTGTACTCGTACAGAGTAAATCCGAAAAAAGTGAAAAAGACAGCAAATATTTGATTTCACGCAAACAGCGCCTTTGTATCTGTTGATACGTATTTCGACCTAATAGGTCTCATCAGAACAGTTATTCAAAGGTGTTCTCAACGTGAAAGATCAATATTTCCTGTCTTTTAAGAAGCAACAATAACATGGCTTCGAATACGGACGCACTAGCGACATCTAATTTAACAATCGTAAAATAGTTTCGAAACACAATTCAGATTTCTGCTTTATCTGTGCTTTCTAAAAAATTGCAAAGCAAAACAGACGTTGATAAAGGTGTTAAAAGAGACGTGGGGAATCTAAAATTTGCATTCCACGACACATCTTTTCAACTAAGCAGAAATCCTTAGCGAATTGGTTTCTTGTACTCGTACAGAGTAAATCCGAAAAAAGTGAAAAAGACAGCAAATATTTGATTTCACGCAAACAGCGCCTTTGTATCTGTTGATACGTATTTCGACCTAATAGGTCTCATCAGAACAGTTATTCAAAGGTGTTCTCAACGTGAAAGATCAATATTTCCTGTCTTTTAAGAAGCAACAATAACATGGCTTCGAATACGGACGCACTAGCGACATCTAATTTAACAATCGTAAAATAGTTTTGAAACACAATTCAGATTTCTGCTTATATCTGTGCTTTCTAAAAAATTGCAAAGCAAAACAGACGTTGATAAAGGTGTTAAAAGAGACGTGGGGAATCTAAAATTTGCATTCCACGACACATCTTTTCAACTAAGCAGAAATCCTTAGCGAATTGGTTTCTTGTACTCGTACAGAGTAAATCCGAAAAAAGTGAAAAAGACAGCAAATATTTGATTTCACGCAAACAGCGCCTTTGTATCTGTTGATACGTATTTCGACCTAATAGGTCTCATCAGAACAGTTATTCAAAGGTGTTCTCAACGTGAAAGATCAATATTTCCTGTCTTTTAAGAAGCAACAATAACATGGCTTCGAATACGGACGCACTAGCGACATCTAATTTAACAATCGTAAAATAGTTTCGAAACACAATTCAGATTTCTGCTTATATCTGTGCTTTCTAATAAGCTATAAGCTTAGGGCCTTTTAACACCTTTATCAACGTCTGTTTTGCTTTGCAATTTTTTAGAAAGCACAGATATAAGCAGAAATCTGAATTGTGTTTCGAAACTATTTTACGATGGTTATATTTGTTTTTTTTTTAATTACTTGATGTTTTTAGATAAAAGAATTGACTTTTGATAGCGTTCAAGTCTAACAACTATTGCTGTCACATTGAGCTTCACCGTACGTAATTAACATATCGTGATACCCGCGAATCGAAAACATGACAATACTATTTATTCTTGAGCTACGGGTAATTACAACTGTTTACAAATAATGTACCTTCTCTGTATCAAAATAAATTAAACTATCACATTCTAACCATACCTTTTGGAGCGCAACGTTGCCGGATGTATCTGCTTGTCTGTGGACACTAATCAAATGGATTAAATTTAAAATATATTTTTTTTGAAAACGGTTGACTTTATAAAAAATTTTATAAGACTTTTTTGTTTAAAATGCTACACTCAGCCCATACCTTTAAGGAACGCACTATTTTCCGGGACACCCTGTATATACTATTATTTGCTAATATTTTTTTTAGAAATTGCGTTTTTCTGCAAAGAGAGTGCATATTTAATATCTGTGCGCTTAAGTAAATTGTGCGAATATGAATGCAAAGATTTAGCGCTTAGGTTAGTCACATCCTTTATGGAGTGTCATAAAAAAGAAAGTTCTGAAAACTTCAATCTTAATGCTACAGAAAATCAGATATGGTTTTTGTTCGATCTTCGGTTGGCCTTGTTGCATCAATTAAGACACAACACCAAAGTTGTAAGAATGGTAAGTACAATAAACATTAGTTTCTCATCTTTCATTAGTCATCTATCTATAATAACGCCAGAGATTTATATTTGAAATAATACACGAACATTTTGTATGATCTTATAGTGTGTCCCACCTTGACTTTACAGTACACAGAACATAGTGCAATGGAATCCTTAGGGAAGTTTTTAGCGCGACGATGCCGATTTTATCCAAAACAATTTGTAATCGAACTTTAGAGGTTAAATAAAACATTTTTTGGAAAGTCAATCGGCAGTTTTGGGATTCATATTGGCAATAACTAATAATTATCTTACACATTGTTTCAAAAGTTTCTCATCACCCCTCGTATTCACGATTTTTACACTTATCATATCTTTATCATATATTTAATAAGCATTTTTCATATAAAATACACCTTTTTTGGTTTTTTATTTAGTTTAAATACCCATCAGTAGAATGACAGAGGATAGAATAGTATGAATAGCACGAGATAAGTCACCAAATGGACGAAGAAGTATTGGCAGATCAAGAAAAAGATGGTGCGACAATTTAAACAATTTAGGAGGCTAATATTAAAAAAGAAACGGACTTTAAAGCCTGCATACAAGAAGGAAGAAGGCGAAGAAGAAATACTCATTTAATTGATCTGGTTTTGCAAAGGTGTTAACATTTGAAAAATTTATTCTGGTAAAATTTGTAAAAACGTGATTTATAGACCGTGCATGAATTCTTGCTTTAGTTGAAGGCCATTCACGGTGGTTCGTGGCGGAAAGAGTGGGTGTTTCTCAGAGTAATGCTTCACAGATATGGAATAGGTTTCTGGAGCATACAGAATAGAACTCGCTCTGGTAGACCCTGGAAATATCAGAATTTCCATCAAAATTATTCTATGTCTGTAGCAATGAGACTTCGAGCATGCTATGGGAGTCAGAGTATCGTTGGCTACAATAAGGGGAAGAATTTTACAGTCAGGGCCAATTAGAGTTCTTCAGCTACGACCTAGACATGTTTTGGACCGCCTCCAGTGGACTCAAGGACACATACAGCTCCCTCAACAGTTTTGGCGCCCCATACTTTCTTCAACTGGTGGCAGTAATACATTTTGGAGATGGCAGATGGACGCAAGGAATTGGTGGTTATTGACGGCACTCTAACAGGACAAAGGTACATAACACGGATTTTAGAACCTCATGAGAAATTATGCCGAGGAGCCGTGGGTGAAAATTTTGTATTTATGGATGATAACGTCTGCCCACGTAGGACTCAAGCGGTTAATGACTATCTTGAGATGTGTATTCGATATTTGGAGTGGCCTGCAATATCTACAGACATGAACCTTATTGAACATGCATGTGATGTGCTCTCCAGAACAGTTCATTCCTAGAACCCATCATGAAGACGCTTTTCAAGCGAACATTTCAAATGTGCGCTTTTTAAACATAAATTTAAATGTACAGGGTGATTCACGCAAGTCTAATATGATCCATCATCTCTATTTTTTTAATCAAAAACCATGTTTCTTTTTATGTTTTTAGAAGCTACTTAACAAACTCATCTCAAAAAATTATATTATGTAGGGTATATTATGAATAATTCCAGGTGGAATTTTGAAACCATGTATAAATTTCGTTTTATAGACATTAACTATTTCTATAACTTTATTTAATTTAAACATTTTTGAATATATTTTTTATTTTGAAATACATATTTACACTTTTATTGAGAAAAATGGTACTATTTAAGGAGCTGTAGATTAGTACTGTAAAGTCAAAGTCAGACGCACTACGGGAATGTAACTCGCGAAATCATGAAATCAGGGCATATATTCTATCAGACTGGCCCCGAAACTACATCAGTTGGAGGCATCGGTTTCTTTGTTCATAAAAACCACGTGAACAAGATAATAAACATCCAAAGTATATCATCTAGAGTGGCATATCTTATTCTGAAGTTAAACAGTAGATATCAATTCAAAATTATCCAAGTATACGCTCCAACAACAGACCATACAGACGAAGAAATCAAAATATTTTGTGACGATATATCTACCGCGCTTAATGATTCTTGTACTCAATTTACAATTTTATGTGGCGATTTTAACGCAAAAATAGGTGTAAAAGAAGCAGAGCTAGAAACATAATTGGGAAAACATGGTTCCCCAGGAAGAAATGACAGAGGAGAAACGCTACTAGGATTCCTACTCCAGAATAATTTATTCAACATGAACAGCTTCTTTTACAAAAAAATGCTCAGAAGATGCACCTGGGACAGTCCAAACGCTAGAACAAGGAACGAAATCGACTACATCATAAGTGACACAAAAACAAATAATTAAAGATGTAACAGTACTCAACAAGTTCACCACAAGCAGTGACCACAGAATGATACGAGCGAAAGTCCAAATCAACACAAAAAGAGAAACAAACATAATGATTAAAAATAAATCTCAGGGTATCTGACAGATATCAACCAATATCAGGCATATACCAATAATAAACTACTACTGCATGAAACCTTTAGAATACAAAGATTGCAATGGGCCGGACATGTGATACGAATGGGAGAGGATAGGCTACCAAAACGAGCACTGAACGCCAGAATGCAGGGAAAGAGACCAGTTGGAAAGCCAAGAAAGCGCTGGGAAGACACAGTAAGCAGCGACGCACAAGCACTTTTAGGAGTCCGTGTATGGAGAAGAGCAGCCACAGACAGACAAGGGTGGAGGCAAAAAATAAAGGAGGCCAAGGCTCATTTTGGGCTGTAGTGCCGTAGAAGAAGAAGACTGCATGAAACCTCCGAGAACGATCTTAACGACTTGAATAATTGCATCATAAACGATTTACAAGAAAGTCACCTGGAACAATTTGTCCTAAAACAATAGATCAAAAACCAAACTGTAGAAGTATTCTCTAAAAAAGTGGTTCATAGCATTATTTAATTACAAACTACCCTTAACACCTTAAATGGACCTCAAAGTTTCAAAAGGTAAACTGATAAAATTCCGTTTTCAGCATTTTTTTAACAACATAAGGCAAGCTGATAATGGTTTGTAATTTTTTTCTGGAAAAGACATACATACGTAATTTAAATGATAAAAAGTTTGAGCTTTGAGACTTAAGTCAGTTTTTTCAAAAAAAATCTCAAAAATGTAATTTTTTGAAACATTTTAAAGTTTGAGCCCTTATATATCTGATGGGGAAGCAAGTAAAAATTTGAAATTTGGCTGAATGTTAGTTCCTAATGAGTAGAATAAGGGGTAAAAATTTGAAGTTGTAGACTTAATGCATATATGAGTTATAGGCCTGAGAAATTGGCAAAAAATCATTAATTTGAGCGTTTGTGGTAGAGTAATTAAAATTCAAATAAACTGTCTAAAGAAATCAAAATTAATGTATTTTCACAAAATTGCACAATCAATACAAATTTTTACTACATTATAGAAATATTAACCTTCGTTTAGAATTTTGACAGTTCAGAAGTTGGGATATTTCATCGCATAAATCTTGAGATATATGCATCCAATTGCTGTTTTTAGTTCTGAGGGTGTGATTTTCTTCATGATTTTATGAAAAGGCATGCTGGATGATGATGATGATTACATCTGAATTATCAGCATTTGGAAGAGGCTGAATTGAAGAAATATTAAGTTGGTTGCACTGTAGAAGCCTTAAAAAAATAATGTCGAATTATATTTCTAAAAACCTAACACTCTAAATTTTACATTTTGATCATACTGCCCAAATTTAATATGTAATGTAAATTTTAATGGTTATATTTGTTTTTTTTTAATTACTTGATGTTTTTAGATAAAAGAATTGACTTTTGATAACGGACTGAGGCTAGTGCAGAGATTTACGAAAAAACGAGTAAGAATCGCAAAGATTTGGAAGTACAATAAAACTATTGCTCATGTGGCTTGTCAAGTGTATCTTACACGAGCTCTAACACAATGTAATGCGAACCAGACCGAAGAATTAAAAGACTTTATAAAATCCTTTTTGGAACAATTAGTTATCCATTCAATGGAAGATGAACTGGAAACGAATTTTGCCGAAAATATGGCCAAATTAAACATTTTTGATTGTAAAGGCCCCCTTGCTCTATTGCTTGTGTGAATATCTTCAAAGCGTAAGTAGAAGTTTTATACTATTTGGTAAATTTTTGTTTTTGTATTTTTGTACGATTAGTTAAAGAAATCTCTTCTTTTTAATTAAGCGCTTTATCTATTATTTTATTAACTGTAATCAAGTTGCAAGCGACGCACGGTTTAAAAATGACACGTGTCAGATAAGCTGTCTTGTTCAGATCATCTATATATATATATATATATATATATATATATATATATATATATAATCTATACATATATATCTATATAGCCCATTCTTTCACGGATTTCTCGTTCCGTTTTTAGCTCAGGTTTTAAAGAATCGCTTAGATTGACATGACATTTGAAATACGCATAATATTGTACAACAGAATTCAAGGCAACCACAGGACAATGCAGAAGTCAGAATGGCGACCTATAATAAGGAAAGATTTTTTTATATTAAACACCTACTGTGTTTATACCATTGAAATCTGGTCAAAGCTGACCGAATTAATTATCAATTTTTATCTGTCTTAATTTACTAAAGGATTATCCTATGGCACCCTCTGATTTTATCTAACAAATATGCACTAATACCCAACATGCAAATTCACAACACAGCTCTGTTTTGGGAGGACAAAAGGCAAGGAGCTGGATGGCCTCGGTGTTTACGTGCTTATGGAGCCGTTGTTGGTGACTACCTGCCATCTTCTTGATAATTTTATTTACATCTTCCATCTCAAGGTCCTTGTGGAGGTCGACATTTCTGATGTACCAAGGAGCATCAACGATGTTCCTTAGTACTTTATTCTGGAATCTCTGGATGATCTGGATATTACTTTTATTAGCACAGTCCCAGAGTTGGCAAGCATACATCCGTACTGGTCTCAGTATTTGAACAGTTGTTTATTATGATTTTATCTATTGACAACTGTAATGTTTCTGCTGCTTCTTCACTGGTATCACCAATCACACCATTGCGGAGACCACAGCGAGGTCGTGAGCTAGCCTAGCCGTCCCAACATTTGTTTGCAGCACTCTTAACACACGTTCCCTTTCACGCTTACTCCCCATTTTGTCGCTTAGTCAGTAGCCTTTAGCCTTCTTCCACCTTCACCTCTTGCTCTTCTGATAATTCCCCTGAATTTGGGACACCAAGTGGACGTAGATATATGACCTTCCTCGTTACAATTAAAAACACTTAACAGTGTGGCTTTGACGCTGGGATTGCACATGGCCCTCCATCCCACACTTCCAGCACCCCCCCCTTTTGCTTCTCCCTCGCAGTCTCTTGCTATGCGGCCGTATGCTTGGTATCTATAGCATCATGTCACCTTTACCATCTCCTTTACCGGGACGTGTACCATCCCGATCTTTATTCTTTCTGCCACTAACAGTTTTCTAGCTATGTCCTCATCCACCTCCACATAACAAATTCTGCTTTCTCCCCTGTTTGTCCTTATTTTTCCAACTATTGCACATGTTTCCTCCCTACCAGCAAATTTCTCCACCGATTCGACAATGTCTTTTTCTGTGGTTAGGCCGTCTATGTCGGCCAGCATCAAACCCTTCTTTACTCTTCCACCTTTTGCCACTACTCTTGTTGCATATCCTTGTCTTGATGGTACTAAATTCCTGACTTGTTTCGCCATTTTCCTGCCTCCATTTAATTCCAGGACCACGCCTTCTTGTCTGGTTTATCTCAGCTTGTTTATGACGACATCCTCTCTTTCTCCTAGTTCTTCCCTTATCTCTTTTACAAGTTCAGCATAGGGCTTGTCCTTCCGTTTAGTGATGATTACTATCCCTTTTCTGTGGCTACTATTTGCCTTTCCTTAAACGTTTTGCCATATATCGTTGCCGTTACCTTCTTTCCTCTTGCCGCCCACTCTAGCACTTTTCTTGAATTTTCCACTCCTAGTGCTGCTGGTGCTGCTATTCCTATATTTTCTCTATCCATTCTTTCCACAAGATTGCCACATCGTCCGGTGCCTCCAAAATTCCTTTTTCACAGATGGTTACTTTCTCATAAACCTCCTCTGGCCATTCTTGATCTAGTACTTCACTTATTTCGTCGGTGCTTTCTGCCGTATCCATTTTATTTATAACTACGCACCTCGTAGTTGTTGCTAGTTATTTTTGTTTGCGTCCCTATTGTTGTTACACATTTTCTTATGCCTTCTTTTTGTCAATATCCTCTGTAGCACTGTACATTAGCTCTCTAATGTTTTTTCCATTTCGTTTTTTTCTTCTTTTTTCTGTTAGTGTTGGTCGTCCATTCACTCTCGTCATTACTATTTCCCGTTTCGTTTTCTCCTTCTTTCTTCTCCTTTTGCTCATCATTTTTCTCCCTCTGACTGTTCTTTTCCTCCTCTTCCGCTAATGTCGCCAGCCTCTCTTCGCCTATATCCTCCATAGACTCTCCTACCGCTACGCTTACCTTCTTGTTTATTAAGTATTTTTCCATTTTTCTTCCCACGAGTTGGGTCGATTCTTCGGTCCAGCGGGGCAGTGCACCCATACTCCGCTAAGGCTATAATCCCCTTCGGTTCGCCTTCTCCTTAGGGCATCGCTTTTCTCCTTGGGCCATGCACCCCTTCGGCACGATGGTGTTACACCTTGAGGTTAGGGTTGCGATATATTAGAATGATGCATAGCCGCCTGTTCTATGCATATCCATTTGTTCTCAATGGTTTTTTCCACTGGTTTTTGTATTAGTGGAGGTTTTCTCCTCGGGTATAGGTTTAGGTATCAGGACGTGTATGATGGGTAGGGGTGAGGGTCTTATGACATAGGGACAGGTTAGGAATTTGGGTAGCGGACAGCTGCTCCATCTAGTCGTCTTTTACGACAAGCAGGAGAAGCCGTCTTGAGTGGCCCGCCTTCACACGGGGATCGTATACTAAAATACCAATTAATAATCCTGTTAGCTTGTTTTCATAAAATTAAGATTTATATTATATTACTTTTTGTAAAAAAGTGAACAATGTTGACTGAATTGATAATGTTAATTTTTTGTTACAGTTTCAGGATAAATTGAAAGAAGTGCCTGTGGAAAAATTGAATCCTTGTATAATACAGATGTATATAAGAGCACTTACATTTGACATGAACGAATTAGAAAAACACAAAACAGAAAAAAATGAGGAAATGACTACAGAAGCAAGTTCTCGTCTAGCCACAGGTTACTGTAAATTAGGTACTTTCCTGACAGCATATTATCTAGTAGAACGAGAATGTGTTCTAACTGCCTTCAGTGTGCAGCCAACAAAGGAACGTTTGACCCATATTGAAGAGCTAGCCAGAAAAAGTGGATATACAGTTTATAATATCGAACATAATTGGAAATGTAGGTTGCATCCTCCAGTTTTACCATGTGATCAACTTCTCTGGAGATGTTCTCAATGTGGCGAATGGGCTTGCTGTAAGCAAGAATTAACAGAACCAACAGTACGATTAAATATAAGTTTAGATGAAGCTTTACAAAACTCGATCTTGGGAATATCTGAAGATTTAATCGTGGATTTAGTTGTATGTTTATCCCATCCTAGGTATCAGCTAATGAGCTGGAAACTTCCGTGGCAGGAGCTACACCGCCTTTGTATTATGTACTTGCACGATCCAGAAGCAACAAAGAACTTTGTTACAGAACTGAAATACCTGGAGATTGATTATTCCTTATTTCAAAGAGATATTAAACGCGAGCCTGGTATATTAGAACAAGAAATGGAAGATAGATATGAGCAGTGTTTAGAACAAAATAAATACCATGAAAGTGACAGTAGCGATAATGAACCATCAACATCACGAGTTTCTCATCCATTACGTGTTGGTAACAGTGGCTCTGAAAATTATTTTAAAAATTATGCCAGATCTGATCCTACCACCCTTAAACGCCTTAGAAGTTTTAGACTTAATTGTAAAAAACCACGGGAAAAAGAGCCGTCAATACAAATTAGCGAAGATGTATTAGCTATTTTTCCGGAAGTAAAATCAGTTGAAATCAGTAAACAGTCAAAAAACGTGAAGACCACGTTGTCCAAACTTGGTGGGCAAACGGAGGTCAAGGAATTCCAAGTAAGCCAATCTACAAAGGAATCGGTTCCGAATTCACCCTCACTGGAAACAGTAATAGACATTTCAGTGAATCCCGATCAGTCCACCCCTCCACAAATAGTGAGCAAACCAGCCTCTCTGGAAAAAGTAATAGACACTTCAGTGAATCCCAATCACCCTACTACTTCACAAATAGTGAGCAAACCAGCCTCACTGGAAAAAGTAATAGACACTTCAGTGAATCCACCTCAATCCAATCCTTCACAAATAGTGAGCAAACCAGCCTCACTGGAAAAAGTAATAAACACTTCAGTGAATCCACCTCAATCCAATCCTTCACAAATAGTGAGCAAACCAGCCTCACTGGAAAAAAGTAATAGACACTTCAGTGAATCCACCTCAATCCAATCCTTCACAAATAGTGAGCAAACCAGCCTCACTGGAAAAAGTAATAGACACATCAGTGAATCCACCTCAATCCAATCCTTCACAAATAGTGAGCAAACCAGCCTCACTGGAAAAAGTAATAGACACTTCAGTGAATCCACCTCAATCCAATCCTTCACAAATAGTGAGCAAACCAGAGAATTTGCAGAGCGAACCTCTGCATCAGATTCCAGTTATGGAGAAAATACTGTTTGTAAAGATACAGCCACTAAATATTTCACAAATGCAAAATTCAATCCAAACACCCAAATTGGTTCCGAATTCCAATCCACCCTCACCGAAGGTAGTACTAGACCCAAAATACTTCACCCGTTCACAAAAAGTGGGACATTTTGTAGGAAATTTGCCGAGCAGACCTCTACATCAGACACCATCTATGGAGAAAATACTGTTTGTAAAAATCGAGCGACTAAACATTTCACAAATGCAAAGGTTAAACAGGAGAACAGAAGCAAAAACTACAGGACATATTGTCATCCCCGAGAAACAATTAGCGGAAAAGGAAAGCTCGAAACGAATGAAAACATCAACAACACACTCCCTTGTTTCTCCAAAGAGAGACACAATAACGATAGGGAAACGTCGAGCCTTGGTCAACAATCCAATTCAGAAAATAAATTCTTCGACGACAGTTCAGAAAGAACTATCACCTTGTACGAATCAGGAGCCTTTAACACAACTGCAGAATGTGGATCACCAGGAGGGAAACTCAGCGAATATACAACAAGAACGATCCACGATCCCTACCCCCATCTCGAATACAAACCTTTCCCAGGTTCACCATTCACAGGCCATGGGCCTACAAAAGCCAACAATCAAAGTGTCTTCGGATACCATCGGTTCTTATCACCACGTGTACGAGAATCGCCTACAGATCAACTATATGGACCAATCATGCTCTTTAGATCAAACGAACCGGAAAAACCAGATGAACGTTTTATTGCCCAAAAACTCATGGAACTCGCAGAGAGCACAAGATTCTTCCGCCCTTCACATTTCCGACAAGACAGCAAATGCCAAAACCAACCTAATCACACAGAAGACTTGTAAAGAAAATCTAGAAAAAACCCAGAAATCTCAGGAACCAGTGGCAGAACTTATAAGCGAAATGGCAGTTCCAATATATCGAACTTACTCAAGGAAACACAAAAAGAGCAAAACGTTATCAATCGATTTGCCAAAGAAACCGGATTTACCAATAACTGCAATTTCAATGATCGATTTGATAAACGACAAGGAAACAGTAACATCTACATCTTGTCAGAAACTGGATTCAGAAACAGAAGTAACAGCATCTTGTCAGACACCATATTATTCCAACTTAGATATGTCAAACCAAAGTAACCCACATGCTTATGATGACACACATAGGCAAAATATTCTCAATAAAATATATGATGGCCATTTAAAACATAAAAGTTACAAAAATACAAATGCCCCTTGGAGGTTTGACTTAGATCCTACACCAATTATCAACGAAAAAACTGACGAGCGCATTGTTGCTGCAAACAGTCCTGAACGGACTAATAGTTCTGACACGACTGCACCACCTAGTTCAAACATTCCGAGAAGTATGCCTTCAACTCCTGTCCAAAGATCATATGTACAATCAGTTTTATCACAAATTCCAGGATTAAACGACTATCAAATGATACAGCCTTCAGATGTTGACCAAATAATTAATGTCGTTCAAATTTCTGGAGGAAGATCAGCACAAAGTGTATCAATTCCGAATTCTCAAACAAGCACGCAAGTTACTCCACATATACAGCGGATTGGTCAGCCAAGGATTAGCGATCAGAAATACGAATCCACTGTAACAACTAACACTACTTCTTCATCTACAACCAGATCATCTCCCCTGATCAACATATTGTCACAACAAATAATTCGCCCTGCAAATACCCCTAGTAACAATGGTCGTCGGCAACCACCAGTAATTAATATCTTGTCACAGCAGATAATACGACCTCCTGATACAGTCACAACCAGAGCAACAGCCAATACTACAAATAGTTGTTCGACGACGGAGGCCATTGAGGTAAGGTTGTATTTAATTTTGCATGCTAATAACATGGCTACTAACTGGTTTTGGTATGAGCTTAATAGAGAATTTAAATGATTGACACTTGGGTATATGGGGTAGTCCGTTTTTACAACAACAATATGCCATTTTAGATTAATATTTATAATAATTGAGGTAGTAATGTGAATTGTTTCACAAAGTATTTAATTTTGGTTGTTTCTGTTCACATCTATATTATTTTCTCTTCATATATTATTTTTATAGAATCAGTTTAACACATTTTAATAATTGAGCTAATAAATGTATGTATATAGTGAAGATTTACTAAATTTCTTCTCACGGCATTTTTTTCGGTATACTTTCTTTCTAACAGATGTACAAAATAGCGACAAAAAATTGTATGTCCGTGGTTATTTTTCAAAGAAAATTTAGATATTGATCATTTATATACAGTGTAGAAACAGTGTGATAAAATTATTTCTGTCCTTGTTTTAAACATAAAAAACTCCAGACTCGAGACCCATCGACTTTTATACGGGTGTCCCATAATTAATTGGACACTAGCTAATGGGTGATAGCTGACATCAAAATAAAGCGTTTGAGCTTAAATTGCTTAGGCAAAATGTTAATAGTTTTCGTTCTACAGGGTAATTCATTAATATTGTTTTATATTATTTTTAGGGATATATTGATAACTATTCAACCGATATTTGGTATCTTGCTATTATTTAGTATCCTTAAGAGCGTAGGCGCAAAATTGCGGGCCAATGCTTTTTAAATGCATTCATTTTTTTCGAATCCTGAGAAAATTAACAATTTTGAAAAATTTAAACAGAATGAAAGATTACATTGTTACCGAGGGACGAAAGTACCTTAGAATAAATAAAAAGCTTTTTTGAATGAGATATTTGAAATTAAAAATCACACTAAATTTTCTCTTTTTTTTCACCCCTGTAAACTATTAAAATAAACATTATAGAAGTTTCCAGAGACTTTCGGCCCTCGGTAATAATGTCTTTCTTTTTTAAAATCTTTTAAAATTATTTATTAGTTTTCTCAGGATTCGAAAAAAATGAATGCATTGGCCCGAAATTTTGAGCCTACGCTCTTAATATGAAAAATGATATTAGGTTTTAACATTGGTTCATTAATGTGGCCATAATTTTTTTGTCTGCCCTGTAAAACATTATAGAAAAAAAAACATGAAATAACATTCAATTCTACACAAAAAAGGTATTGTTTCAAATAAAAAAAGTACACTGTTTTCGAAATAAACGTATTTTTTAGAGACGTGCATAAAATGAAAAAAATTTACAAAAACTTATGTAAATTCAAACATTATTTAAAAGGTCTATGAATATTAAATGTATTAAAAGTTTTTATATTTATGTATTATGTATGTATTTTTTAAATTTTTGCAAACAAAATGCATATGATTGAAACAGTTATTTTTATTAAACCTTTTACACAGTGCAAATTAAAAAAAAATCAGAAATTAAATTAAACAATGAAGTGAATATAAAACCAGTGACAAAGTCAATAATTCAAAACGAAACGAAAAAAAAAAATACAAGTGTTCAAAATGTTCACCATTAGATAAACTACATAATCTAAATCTTTTGTGTAAGTTTTATCTTATTTTAAATAATGAGTTTCTTTGGACCGTAATTACTTTAACTCCCTCTACAATATTTTGTCATAACTCTTAACGGCTATTTATTTTTTTATATATAAACAAGTGACTTTTGGTAGCCCCACAAGCAAAAGTCTAGGGGATTTAGTTCGGGACTGCATGCTGGCCATGGGTATACATTACCTCTACCAATCCACCTTTGAGGATAAATCTTATCTAGATAATTTCTAACTTCTAGGCTATAATGTGGTGGTGTACCATCATGCATGAACCAAGAGTTACGTCTGAAATTTAGAGGTATGTTTTCTAAAAGGGTTGGTAAATCTTTCAAGAAATTTAGATACGTTACTCCGTCAAGCCTAGTTGGTAATTTGAATAAAATTGAAATGTTTTTCAACCTTTGGTACAAATTGATTGTGAACCAAGCTGACAGGGAAGAAAAGTCTAAGTTTTTGAAAGCCCTGGGTTTTTATGACTTTCCGATAAATCCTAGATGGAGTTTGTGAGATCCTGTAGCCTTACTGCAGACTAAAAGTGTCACTCTTTCCTTTTTCTTCTTTAATCCTGGTGCACTGTTTTCGTGTTTTGAGGCCAGAGTGTAGGTTTCATTATTTTATAATTGAAACCTATTTCGTCACAATTGTAAAGCTGGTCTCCGGTAATTACTTATTCTTCTAGTAAGCTGTGCAAGGTCTTTTTGAAAACTTCGACAACTTCTGGGTGAGCAGACAGTTTCTCAACACATATCTGCAGCTTTCGCACACCGTACTCCAACTCTCCAACTTTCACTTGCCTTGAAATCATTATCACCCCCCCCCCAATTTCTTTGTTGAACCTTTGCTTTACTTTTTCTTTTAATATAGGGCCTGAGATTGGTAATCCCTGCTCTCTCTTTTGGGTGAACCAAAATACAAATATTCATTGATAGGGTTGTTAGATGCGTTTTTCACCATTTCAGTTTCTTTATCCAGTTGTTGAAACCTGCGGTCAGCACCATTTTTCAATTTTGTTTCTAGATTTTTTCCGAAACTATTCTTCTTCCGAATAATTAAGTAAAATTTTGAAATAAAAAAAAATAATTTAGGCATTAGGGTTAATAAATTAACGCTTTTTCACAAGAATAGAGTTAATGACGAAAAAAAAAAATCATTAATGTCTGAATTCTCCAGCGAACTACCTGTCCAATTATTTGCCACACATGGTCTGTTTCCTGTTTACAATTAAAGGTTTGTGGTTCTGTAACGGAAGGGGTTGACAAATGACAGATGTCTATATCGTTAAAATATGTCTACTTTGGAATAAAAATCGACCTGTTTTAGCATTTTCACAAGAACAATGAATACTGTCGGAGTTTACTCTTTTTAGTGGTCAACGCTTTATACATTTTGTTGATACAAAATACATTGAGTCTTTCAATAATTATATGGGGCGAATGCCTAAGATGTGTTGTCTCTACCGACCTAATAGTCGAGATACTTAAATATTCAGCATCTGCTTGATTCTTACACATAATGGTACAGGGTTTAGATATATATGGCAATGGTGGTGGTTAAATATGTGCTTGCTCTAGTGGTCGACATGTTTAATGATTCAGAATCTGCATTATTCTTACAAAGAACTAAAGTATGAGGTTTAGTTTCATATGACAATGGTAGTGGTTAAAGATTCTTACCTAATACACCTAGCATTTGGGCTTTAAATTTCTTTGTATTATAAAGAATTTCAATACTTGATTTTTCATCTCAAATTTTTTATCGGTGCTTTTCGTGTAAATATATTTCTAATATCAATTTGTGTTCAAATGTACTGTACTTATTTTGTTTTCATTTTTATCTACAAGTTATACAAAGTGATTCATTAAGAATGTCCAATCTGTGAGTTGTACATTCTAGATCTCAAAATATAACAATATGCCTTATATAAATATTGCTAGTTTTAGAAATACCGAGTGTTAAAAATTTTTAAATATGGATTTTAATTTTTGCAATAATTTTGCATATTTTCACAATCTCTATTTAACAACTGGCAGCAACGGCCAAAGCTACGGATGGATTTGCGACTGGTAACCTGGAATGTCCAAACCATGGTGCAGGCAGGCAAAATGCAAAGTATTGCACAGGAACTACTGAAGTACGAAGTAGACATAGCAGCCCTCCAAGAAATCAGATTTAAAGGGCATGGTTGCATAAATAAAAAAGAATACAGTGTTTACTACTGTGGAGCAGAAAGACAAGGAGACTTTGGAGTGGGTTTTATGGTATACCATAAATGCCGCCGGTCAGTATTGGGTTTTACTCCAGTTAATGAAAGAATATGCAAAATGCGTCTAAGGGAAAAATGTCATAATATTACAATTATTAATATCCATGCCCCAACAGAAGCAGCAGATGAAGTAGTAACCGATCAATTCTATGACCAATTACAAGTAGAATGTGAAAACGCACAGAAGAGAGATGCAGTTATAGCCCTGGGTGATATGAACGCGAAGCTGGGAAAAGAGCCAATATATGCAGAATCGTTTGGTAAGCATAGTTTACATGGTATTACCAGCAACAACGGTATAAGAGTGGCACAGTTGGCAATGGCAAACAAACTAAGAGTTGTTAGTACGTGTTTCCCTCATTAAAATATTCATAAAGGAACCTGGATGATACCTGGTACTAATAAATTTAATCAAATTGATTACATATTAATATCTAAGCGGTGGGCAACCTCCGTAACGGATGTTAGAACTTATAGATGCCGATTCGGACCATTTCTTGGTTATATAGAAGATACAACAAAGAATATCAATGGTAATGAAAAGAGAAAGGCGCCAAAAAAAGAAAATGGAACACATATATGTTTAAAAATCCTAAAAAGAAGAATTAGTACCAGGAGAAAATAAAAGTAATATTAAATGAAAGAGGAGAACAAAACAACAAACAACAACTTGAAGAAGAATTTAATTGCATCCAAAAGTCAATTACAAATATGGCAAAGGAAACATTAGGTGAAACCTCAAGCAAAAGAAACGAGGAATGGTTTGACCAAGATTGCCAACAAGTAATAAATAGCAAAAATATTACCAGACAGAAATGTCTACAAAGGGATTCGCGATTTAATAGAAGGGCATATGAAGAACTGAAGAAAAGATGCAAAGAAAATATGTAGAAGAAAAAAGTGAGAAATGTTGAATAGAAAAATACAAAAAATTACAGATTATAATAACAGAAGAGAGGCTAGAAAATTTTTACAAGGAAACCAAGCAATACACCCAAAAGATACATTTGCAAGGACAAAAATGGAGCGATTATAAGCGAGAAAGAGGAAATAATGAAAAGGTGGAAGGAGCATTTTCAAGAGCTGTTAAACCCAGAAAAAAAAAACAAAACGAAGACGAAGAAATAATTCACCACACAGCAGAACAACTAATTGAACAACTAAAATTGGAAGAAACGATAAACGTCATAAAACATCTAAGAAATAACAAAGCACCTGGTATAAATAGAATAAACTGCAGAACTGATAAATAATGGTGGACATGCGCTATGGAGGCGTATCCATAAACTAATCGACCGCATATGTACACTAGAAGTCATCCCAGAAGATTGGAAAGTAGGAATCATACTTCCTGTATACAAGTGGGGAGACAAACGACTCTGCAAAAATTATAGGGGCATAACAGTTTTATATGTCGTCTACAAGATATTATCAGGAATTGTTATACAGCCGCCTGAAATCGTTTTCGGAGGAGATAATTGGTGAATACCAATGTGGCTTCAGACCAAAGACAAACTACAAAAACAAAACCAAATACATATGTTAAGAGGTATACATGAAAAATGTGTTGAATATAACAGACCTATTTACAACTTATATATCGATTTCAAACCGTGTAGATCGACAAAAGATGTTAAAGCAGCTATCTATGTTAGGGATACACAATAAGTTAGTTAAACTTATACGAATGACTCTGGAGGGTTCCAAAGCTATGGTGAGAATACATGGAGATGTGACACAGGCCTTTGATATTGAAAATGAAGTTAGACAAGGTGATGCCTTATCAACAACACTTTTTAATCTAACTTTAGAAGCTGTTGTTAGAAAACTGGATGTAAACGGCTGTATATATGGAGTGCACAAAAACAAATCAACATGAGAATCTGAAAGTAGACAACCATACCTACAAATATGTCTCCCCTTTTTCCTACCTAGGCTCAATAATAAATGACAACAACATCAGTCAAAAAAAAAACAAGCATAGATTCTTATCTGTTATGAAATGAAAATCAACTGAGAATATTTGAGCGCAAAATACTAGGAAGATATTTGGACCAACCCAATGCAGCAATGGTTCGTGGAGAATTAAAATGAACCACGAGCTGGATGAACTAATGCAGAGCGTAGATATTGTTAGATTTGTAAAGTCAAAAAGACTAAACTGGCTTGGTCACCTAGAAAGAATGTCAGATAATCGAGCTGTAAAAGTAGTCCAGAGATGGAAGCCCCAAGGAAACGGAACAAGAGAAAGGCCCCGTCAAAGATAGATAGACGACGTAGAGAGGGATCTTAAAACCATGCACATCAGGCAGTGGGGAAGGAAAGTATCCGACAGGGCAGAATGGAAGAACATTGTTAAGAAGGCCAAGACTCACAAAGGTTTGTAGTGCCATTAGAAGAAGAAGAGTATTATTTTTGCCGATGCGTTAACATTTACCAGGTGAGGAATATTTAATTGAAAAATAATCATTTGTGGGATTCTGAAAATTTTCAAGCTAGGAGAGAAACTTATAACCAATTGAAATCGACCTCTGAATTTAGATTTTCTTCAAGAAAATTTACATGAATTACTAGAGGATATATCTCTCGCCTTAAGACAAAACATGCGGTTGTTATATGACGAGCACCATCACATTATTCTTTAGTAGTTCGTGAATAACTA